TAATTATTAAATTATTATGCTGTAATTATTGATATTTGATAATATTTATTATTTATTTTTACATTTAACAAAATTTAAAACAAGGTACAGCACGCAAGTAGTTAATTTTGTAACTAAAAAATCTAAAAAATATATAATCGCAGTTTTTTATAGTTATTTAAGGTATTTAGTAATTTAAAATATTATTTATGGGTACACAAAACTTCTTTTTTTTATTATTATTAAAGTTTTCCTGATTTATATCAGCTAAACTTAGGTATATATAATTACAATTTTTGACTTTTATACATCAGATCACAATATCTCAAAACTTCTTAAGTATATTATTAGTTTATTATATTATAAAAATATTACAATAATAATGTACAAATAATATCACTTCAACTTGTTAACATATTAATAATAGCAATATAAATATAATATAAAATATTTATACATTTTTTATAAGTGTTTTTTATTAGTGTTAATAGATAACCTTACCAAATATGTATTGTTGTTTCCAGCAAAATCCACTCACACTCAATCAGCTATTAGAAGTTTACAGAAGTTTGTTGATCAATGGGGATTGCCGGATCGTTTGATAACAGATAGAGGGACATGCTTTACTTCCAAGGCGTTCCAGGATTACTGTCAACATAATGGGATCAGGCACACTCTCAACTCGTCTCGACATCCGCAAGCAAATGGACAAGTGGAGAGGACCAATAGAACCTTATTGCCAATGCTTGCAATTCAAGCACAAGATCAAAAATTATGGGATCAGAAGCTGAAAGAAGTTGAACGTGACATAAACAACACGGAAAGTAAGACTACCAGATACACACCATTTGAGTTAATCCACGGATACCGGCCTCAGTTTCATTCAAGCGTGCTGAGATTACTAGATGGTGTTGGTACACATCAGCCTTTGAATTCAGTAGAGTTACAGGCCAAGGCAAGAGATAACATTTTGAAAACTCAGGTATCAATGAAAGAAAGATATGATCAGAAAAGGAACAAATCGATAAGCTATGAAGTTGGAGAAATGGTGGCAATGCTGCGTGCACCTACCCCAGGTCAATCTACCAAGCTTCAGACCAAGTATCGGGGCCCATTGCAAGTTATAGGGAAACTACCTGGAAACACATATCGAGTCGCTGAGATGGCAAGGGATGGTAAACACATTTATGCTACAACGGCTCATGTGTCTCAGTTGAAGGCAGTTTCAATAATGCAAGAGGAGCAGCTTGAGGAAAAAGGAAGTGGGTCATCAGCAGATGAAGATGAAGAGACTAACAAATCAAATGCTGATCTACCAAGGGTGGAAGAAACTGTTAAGCTTAAACGTCAAAGAAAACCACCAAAGTATTTAGAAGATTATGTTTAATTAAGTCCATCTAAAGAACTGATTTGTTTAATTTTGTTTAAAATATTAATTTAGTTAAATCCATCTAAAGAACTGATTTGTTTAATTTTGTTTAGAATATTAATTTAGTTAAGTCCATCTAAAGAACTGATTTGTTTAGATTTGTTTAAAATATTAATTTAATTGAGTTTGTTTTATATAATGACTTATCGAGGTCGATAAGTAAGGGTGGATGGCCGAGTGTTGGCTACCCTGTTTTTTGAAAAGGGCTTGACCATTCAGTCATGGTTATAGTCAGTCGCAGAGTACCGGTTGTGGGCTCTGTTCGTAATGTTCGTATGTTTGTTGTTATTTGTTTATGCATTTTAATAAAACTGCTTTAGTAAGTACAATTCGTTTGTCTTCGTTTAAAACCTATTAGTAACAGTATATTTTTAAAATTTGCTGTTTTGAATTTCATAATTACATCTAGATTTATTTTGTATAGTGTTAATATTATTTAATAACAATAGGTAAGTACATCAAACATTGTTTTTAATTAGGTAAGCATATATAATAATATAGTCAAAACTTTTGAAAACCACCACGAAATAGAAATACAATTTAAAATATAGAGTACCTAAGTTAAACCTACTTACGCCTAGTATAGGGTAATATAGAATATCTACCTAAAAATCGAAAATAAATTACATCTAGTATAATAGGCATTCAAAAATAACTAGTTATACCACAAACCAAATTTAAAAAATATATAAATCATAAAACGAAATATCTATTCTACGAATATATAAAGTCACACAATATAAAATAAAAAAAGTATTAATTCGTATTGAATATAATATACTAGTTAAATTGAATTTATTTAACTAGGTAATGATAATTTTACTCGGGGCTTTATTTGTCTATAACTGGGCTTTTTTTTCCGGAATTTTATTTCGGGGTTTTTTCCGAATACTGTGTAGGTCTCTGTGATTATGGATGTGTTAAATTTAGTGTTGGACGAGTATTGTTTTTTAATATCGTGTCAAGTCGAGTCGAGTTCCAATTATTTCGAGTCAAGTCGAGTTCAAAATACAAGTAGGTACTCGACAAATGCCGAGTATGAAAATAATTTGAGTACTCAATAAATGCCAAGTATTTGAAAAAGGTCGAGTATGAACAAAATTTGAGTACTCGACAAATGCCAAGTATTCAAAAAAAGGGTCTAGTAATGGGAATTGCTCGAGTGTTTTAAATTGTACTAGAAATAGATTCTCCAAAAATTTTAAATTTTCTTTCATACAATCCTCCCCAGACAATTACTAACGTGAACAAAATTTAAACCATCAAGTATCAACTTATAGGTATTTTTACCGGAAGTAATTGTGTTCTTTCAGTTATTTATAGTTTTAACATTTATTTTTCAATATTTTTTTATACTTAAAAATACTATAAAAAGTCTTGAATCGAGTACTCGCAATTACAAGTATAAACAAATTTTTGTCGAACATTTGTCCAAAGTCAAGTATCTACTCGACCAACACTATAAATTGTAATTCAATGACACACAATAATTCTATACGAAAAATGATCCTGAAAAACGATTATGACCGAAGACTGTCTGTCAGGCGTCCGCCAATATCACCACAGATTATAATATTAAAGTCTTGAGTATTTAAAATTGTTTGTACATTTTAAAATACTCAAAATATGCTTCAAAATTAAAATCTAAAAAAAAAAGCTATGAGGTTCACTAGATAATGTTCTTGCTTCTAAGTTTTATAAGAGGTCAATTCGCTCTAATTCTTAAACTAACACAGCTAAGTGTAATCTGCTGAGCGTACAGTTTGCTATATTAGATTTAAGAATAATCATAAAAGTCTTTAAAGTTCACACTTTTTTTAAAAGTTGAAAACTGTCCGGAGTCACCCGCAAAATGGGGTGACTTCGGACACGTATTAAATTTAATTAAAAACCGATGTTAAAATTACAATGGTTGACTTCGGACAGTATAGATATTTTTAAAAAAAACGTAACGAATTAAACAAAAAAAAAAACATAACTTTATCATAAATACTACGTATTTTATTCAATATTTTGAAAAACTTCAAATAAAATAATTTTTTACTTTTATAAAAATATCAACAAATGTTATATTAGGTAGGTATGTAAATTATAAATCGAATTGACATTTTTTAACGGCATTGACTGCATTTTTAATTATATTATAATCGTAATTCTGATAAGGACGGCCTACTACAGTTTTTTTTGTATGATCTGGGCATCGTAATTTTCCTGTCCGGAGTCACCCCGCGTTTTGAAAAAAATTAAAGAATGTAGCACTACAATGTATGAATAAATAAATAAACTATTTTAATACACGTAAATTATAGCTGATAAGTTTGCGAGCCGATTGCCGAAAACCGCAATCAAATATGTTTATTTGTTGTTGTTCTACAGATGTTATCAGTTCGATAATTTTTAAATCTAAAAATAGATCATCTTGTATTTACCTCTATAACATATGGTATGATAATATTATGTCATCAATAAATATTATTTTCTATGGAGGAAATAATAGATATGAACGTGGAGTATCAGTTTTCAACTTTTATCAAACTTGTAATCCAAAATGATAAGAAAACTACAAAAATATGGTTTTGTCCGGAGTCACCCCGCATGTCCGAAGTCACCCCATTTTACGGTATGTTATGAGTTTGTAAGACAGAGAGAACGCATGCGCCCTCCTCTTACGTAACACCGTGTTTTAGCTGACTTGCACGCATGCGGAGAAACCAAGCTGTAACCATCATAAAAATAATAATGTTTTGAAAAACACCAATATAAATCGATAACAGTTGTAAATAATTTTAAGGGGGATGTATTATTTTCGACGAAATAAGTGGAGGGATGGAAAATGTAAATTGTAAAAGTGGAGGAGTACCTACTATAGTGGTACAAAGAACAAAGTTGTGGGTGGAGGAGGCACTTCGACAAATGCAGCTGAAGGTTAATATTAAATAATACATTTTTGATCGTCCTAAGTAGATGAAAATACTTTTTACAATTATGACAATTACCTACTATATATAAGATACCTATTTAAGCATTTTTAAATATTGTAAGAACTAAGGCCAGCAAGGGGGACAATACTTAAAAATTAAGAAGGATGATAGTCTCTTCAACATCCCACACCACACTATTTAAACTTATGGCCCTAACATCCCAAAAATCTTTTTATTTTCATCCTACTCTAAGTCTAATACTCCTCCATACACTACTATAGTAACACTACTATTGTACTATACAGTCATACAGTCATACATAGTACAGATTAATAGACAATAGACAAACACTATTCGGTTTAAAATAACTAATAATACTTTATACTTTATAAATTAGTCTTTACTCTTTAGTCATATACCTATTACCTAGCCACCTATAGGTTAGGTTATAGGTACTTACACGATTTATTTTTGTAGGATATATTTTTCTTGGGCGTATATTGTATCATGGAAGCATATAATAAAAACACCATCTGTTCTTCCATGAAAACCTGTCATTAGTCGTGAGATAAGATAAGTGCCGAATCCGTTTAATACATTATTTTATACCTACTCTATAGTCTATAGTCAAATTTTTTTCAGATATCTAAATTTTCAATAACTTGTACAAAATGAAGTATTTTCTAGTCATATCATTATCGATTCTGGTATGTTTAGCTCACTGTAAGTTTGCAATTGAAGAAGTGGACGAGTTTGAGGAGTTTGAGGAGTTGCCTAGAACTGAACCTGACCTGAAACTGAAGGATGACTCCTCTCCCATTTTGGAAAAAGCCGAGGCCGAAGTCACTGTCGAAGTATACCCAAATCATCGATTGTTTGAAACAATTACAATTGTTTTTAACGTGTGTTTTTTTATAGGATGATGACGAATTTGAACATTTTAACGATGAAGAGGAATTTGAAGGTTTTGACACTGAGAGATTACATGTCGATGACAAGGATCCTAAAATTACCATTGCTTCTGTACCAGTACCTTTTCATACGAAGTGGTCGAATTATATAATGGAAACACTATTAATTGTTGGTATTGTTGCATATTTTGCAAATTTTTTCTATGGTCGGTCAAAGAATGCTCAGTTGGCAGATATATGGTTTAAGACGCACAAATCTTTATTAGAAGATAATTTTTCTTTAGTTGGTTTGTATATCAATAGTATAAAAAGTAATTTACAATGAAAATATATTTAATTTATTAATGCAGGGGACGATGGTAAAATTGAAATAGAGAATAGTGGCTTGATCAAAGAAACTGAAAGTACATATACATTATGGTGCAGTGGTCGCACTTGCTGTGAAGGAATGTTGGTTGAATTAAAATTCATTAAGGTAATAAAGTAAATTGTATATCACAACATTTTAGTGACCAACAACAAAATACTAAACTGCATATATTTTAGAGACAAGATTTGGCTTCTATGTTGAATCAATTCTTGCGACCTGTTAAGGACGAAGTACAAATTAAAGTTGATATGAACAAAGAAGATATGGATACATTTGTATTTTGTGTGGCATCTAAAAAAACAGCAGCTCGGTGTTCAAAAGAAATGGCTGACCTTGTTAGAAGTTATTGAAATGTCTAAACTTTATTTATTTCTATTTTTTTTTTATGTTTAGAGTGTATTTTGTCCAGAACGTAAGCCTGGAGCCAATTATGGTTTGACTGATAGTTTTAGTGTACACAGCGAATTAGCCGAGGTATCTTCATCTATATTGGATGCAAAGACTGTCAACTATATTAACAAATACTCAGATGTTATAGACTGCTTACATTTTTCTGATAGATATTCAGGACTTAAATTAACAGAGTAAGTTTTTTTTTATAAAACTAATTAATATGGTGAACAGAGGAGGTCTGGAACTAAAACTGGCATAATTGGCACAGTTATTTAGTAAATATCACCATATTCATTATATGAAATTGGCCTCTTATTGTTTATAAGATACTAAGATACAATGAGTGTGTATGTGTGATAAACATACCTTTCTCACTTAAGAACAAAAATAATAATATATATTTAAGACTGTTGAAAGCAAACTATTTTTAAGGGTTTGGATTTAGGCAATATTCTATATTATCTATCATGAGTGCTGTATGTGTATGAGACTGATCATTACGTGTGCGTGAGTTTTCTGAACACTATGTAATTAAAGATAAACCACGGATAAGATTCTTGGAAATCAGTAACATACATCCTTGCATTCACACGTCATTATATTTTGGCATTAAAAAAGTTCAACATGAAAGTCCCAAAGAGCAGAAGGAAAATAACCCTGTTACAAAAGCCTGATTATAATTTTGTAAAAATTTAAATTCCTTATTCTATTTTCTAGGTTCTGTATGGATTTTGGATTTTTTATATTGTTTAATTAATTTCCTAACAAATTTCCTTTTTTTTTTTTAATGATTATTTAGTGTTACTAAAAAAAAAAAAAATCGAAATTCTATATTCTAGAAAAGAGAATAAGGAATTAAAAATTAAAATTGGACTTCTGTAAATTTTTTTTTTTCTTCCGCTTATTAGTTTATATGCACAAAAAAACAACCGGCTTTCAACAGCCTTAAATAATTTAGACTGAGCCGAGCAATGAATGTATTGATTTTACAGTGATGTGTTTTTTTTTGTGTCTGTCTTAACTTTTTAGTGTAATAAAAATGCTTTGATTTTCTACTTACATCTTTTCTGGTAGGAAAGTGAATCATACGTTATTATAGTAGCCGTTCAATAATATTAACGATACATATTATTACAGAGGCCCAATTAAGCATTTAAAGTTCACATTTTTACAAAATTCATCAAAATCACTAAAATGTTCAAACTATTTTATAGCTAAAATTTATAAATTTATAGGTTTAATACTATGTTTAATAGTAAAATAAATTACCTTAATGGCAATAATATCATAAAATATTCTCAGTAATATAGGCGGACAGACTGTCTTTGCTTAGAATCGTTTTTCTTGCACAATGGTTTTATAATTTTATATCATTGAATTCAAATTTAAAACATCTATTACAATAATCTGCTCGAAACACTAAGTAAAGCATAGGCACGCACTTACCCACCTTTTTTTAAAAATTATTATTATTTTTAAACGATTAATAGCAATCTATTGAAAACGTAAACAATTATTAATTACTAACTATGATTGCATAATGCATAAAATATATTATACTATAACAATGCAAATTACAAATTGGGGAAACAACCATTAGTACCAATGTTAAATATCTCAACAATAAAATCAATACTAATTACTTACATATATTTTTTTTTCTTTCTTCTAGTGAAACTGCAGTTCCCACTAAGTTACCAGCAGTCAAAAAAGTATTGATATTCACATTTACTATTCCTACTGATAAATATACTGATCCTCAGGAAGCCATTAGTACTATATACCCGTTAATGTCATTTATATTCCAATGTATGGAACGTATAAAAAGGTTGAGAATCAGCAAAGAGGCTAAAATTAAAGCAGAAAAAAATAGACTACGTGTTGAGGAAGCATTTTTAAAAACTACTCATGCTGCTCGGGCTGAAGCAGCCGCCGCCAGAAAAGAAGAAAAGAAAAAACTGGAAAAAGAACGAATTTTAAAAGTAAAGTTGATTTATATTTCTATAAAAATAATTATTCATTATTAAAATTGTATTATTTAGGAGGATCCAGAGAAGCAACGAAAGTGGGAGGAGAAAGAGATGAAACGTCAACAGAGGAAAAAGGCACCAAGAATGAAACAGTTAAAAGTAAAGTCTATGTAAAAGATGAGACTTTTTTTTTAGTTTTTCGTGTTTTTAATTGTTGGTTTTTGGTTACATCAATAAGTAGTTGATTTTTTTTAGTATTAATATAATTGTTTATTTTATTAATATTTTTCATTTTAATAATTTATTATATTATATGTGTTTAGTGTAATTTTTTTTTTGGCATGTTATTTTTATGACGTGCCTTTGAATTGTATTAATATTATCACAAACTAAATAATATGTTTCTTTTCTTTTTCATTACATTTAAAAACAAGTTACCTATGTGTAAAAATTAGGTATATTTATAAAAAAACTGCCATTCATTTTAAAAAGTATATACTTACATTTTATCACTCATAAGTAATGGCATAAAATGTATTTAATAAGCTAAGTATATTAAATTGATGTCCAAAAAAAAAAAAAAAAATTAAATCAATTGAAATAACATAAGATATGTTAATGTTTAATGTTTGAAAATATTATGTTTCATGAATTATTTGTCATGTTCCTTATTATTATTTTTGTATTACATTGTTTACATTTTCATATTATAATGGAAAGATACCACTTTGATAATTTTAAAAACACCTTGATTCTTTGAATCACAATTAATACATAAACGTTCATATGTTCGCATTAAAAAAACAATCATGATTGCTAGTGTAAGTTATTAGTGACTTAGTTATCTTTGATGGTTCATGGATAATACAATTGATGAGTTAAGTTAATTAAATAAAACTTTTCCAGCCTGAACAATTTTTTTTTTTAATTGAAATTGAAATATATAATAATTATATTTCATTTTTATTACTTTTTTTTATTAATTGTCTAGTTGAAACTTGAGATGCGTTTCAAGTCGCAACTAGCAATTAACCTTTATGTACATGCGTTACGATAATGGTTGATGTTAGTTAGGCAGGTCAATGTTTTCTAGTTGCAGTTCAAATGACAAAACACTTGCAGTTCTATTGGAAAATCACAGTTGCTGTCAGGTCTTCAGACACATTACAAACTTTTCCAATTTAATGATGTTTCTAGCTAGTCAGGGGTGTACCCAAGTGAGGGTTTTCAGGTTGGACCCCCCATTTATTTACAGAATTTAGAATTTTTAAGATGCAAAAAACTGATTGTATACATTTTACATGTTAAAAAAATATGAACTTCCCTTTGAAAAATTCCTGGGTAAGCCCCTGTTTCTAGTAGACAAAATGCAACACATTATTTCTATTTGAAGTAACAATAAGTACAATAAATATTGTTGCTCAACCTTATGACAGTGCCAACCTTCAATTCTTTTGTTATAATTTAAGAACGAAAAACAATATTAAGAGAACTTTTTTTTTTTTTTAGATATTTTGAGTTTAAATTTGGACACACTATAAATATGAAATATATTCACAAAGATTAATATACTCCTTTCAAAAGATAACCGGTCGACCACCAATTTATGTTCGACGGAGTGCATGACTCACCAATTTCCCATTTTCAGCATGATCACACGTGGTTCTCGACCCACCAATCAAATTATTCGACATGCGCGAAAGCAAAAGTGAAAGCTTGAAAAGGAGTATAGAACAAAACATTAAATAATTAACATTTTCACTGCTACACTATTTATATTTTAAACACTGCAACCTGTGTATGCTAGATAAAATAAAATATTTTTATCTTTTTGTTAATTGTTAACTATTTTAATTTTGAGATCTGTATGATCTTATTATTTAAGTTTAAAATAGTGTGAGCCATGGTTTCTTAAAGAATTATCATTTGCCGGGTGCCGGGAAATGATAATATTATAAAATACAGAAACGTAATAGTGCGTCTAGAGCAGTAAATGGTGTAAATGTTTTGGACATAATAGTAAGCCTGGAGCTGTGAAAGGGTTAATATGGATTTTTTTATTACTTCAAGACTATTACTGGTAATGTGTTGGTGTAGGTTCTTGATAAGAATAAAACAAAACATTGCTTTAAACACTTGTCTAGGTATTATTAAAAACAACCCACAAATAGGAAACAATTTGGCTGTAGGAAAGAAATGAAAAAAACTACAAGTGTGGTGTTTGGTAAATAATAAATATAAATATATTTTTTTTAATCGGGCTAAATTAAATAAATCTAAAATTTCAAAATTTTACCCAACTAATTTAAAATTTTTCACTATATGTATGACTAAAAAGTTTTGAATATAAAACGATTATCTATAAGGTATTCAGTTAAATAAATAAATAGGTTTTGTTATTCAATATACAAATTAGATTAAAGATATTTACAATACAGTACAATAATAAAAGTAATATAATATTATTATATATTATATTTCCTATCATAAATATGTAGTAAAAAAAAATCATAACACAATAAATAAATATACAATTAATATGTTGTTATTTTACAAATAATAAAATTGAAAGTCAAAGAGACAAACCGGGTCAAAAACAACGCTGGCTTTTTTTACACCTATCAAAAATGATGAATAATAAGAATACATTAATACTAATACACAATGGTAAGAACACAAAGTATAAATAAAAATCTTTTTTTGCTATAACTTTGTAACAATGAGTTTGAGCTTTCAGCTTAAATTTATTTGTGATTAGAAATAAGCTACGCTGTATGTAGTATGTTATACACAATTATATAAATAAATTTAAAAAACAATTCACTTGTTTGGGATCCGTTGTACTTGTTTTCTGTGGGCGTGTCTATATTTAATCACATACAAGTCAATAAGACTATGTATTTTCTGTGGATTGATCTCACCACTCTTGTTGTGACAGATCTACACACACAACATAACATTAATAATAATAAATTATTTTTCTACAACATTTGACTTACTTTAGGCACAGCTTTTCTCATAATATCTTTGTACTGTTCTTTTGTTATTTGTTTTCTGTTGTAGTGAGGTTTTAACACTAGTTTCACTTCCTCAATAACACGTTCTTGTCGATTAAGCTTTTCCAAGAACTACACACATGTATCAAAAATTAGAGATTAATATTTAAATTAATATTGAAATTTTTGAAAATCAATAGCTATAAATACAGTAGTAATACTCTACGATAAAAATAATCAAGTAATATCACCTTATTTTTTGATTCCAATTCAACTGCTGATCCAGGTAAATCATCAACACTGTCATCATTAGATGTATTATGTTTAGAATCTAAAGTAAATAACAACGTCAAGAAAAATACGCTATAACTGTTGAAGAATTAATAACACAGGTTAAGTGTTATTATCATATACTTACATTTTGATTTGGAAGAAAATTTAGGAGGTTGTAAGTTCTTAATTTTCATTATGTTATCAAAAACATTTGGAGGTTTAGATTGAGGTATTATACTGAGCAAAGTGTCCAATTTACTTCTCACTTCACCTTTGTTTTGGTTCTGTGACGTAGATACAACATTCTTTGTTTGAGGAACAGGACTGTCCGGTGATGAACCTTTCATTTCATCCACAAAACCTTCACCAGGGGAGTAAGGTGAATCAGCACCGTTATCAAATGCTGACGTTTGACTGTCCTCATTGTCATCCAAATCGATTATTTCATCTGGGTTAGTGGCAGTAGGCGTGGGTTGAACAGGACTAGGAGTTTTGGCCGCTACTGGACTACTAGTAAAGAGTAATGTATTTGTAGTGGTGGTGGCAAGTTTTTCTGGAGATTTATCTGTTTGAGTTGAACTTTGGGATTCTAAAAACGGTGGCGTTATAATTTTAGCTACTATCTGGGGTGAAATAGAAGATTGGCTATCAGTAGTTTTGTTTTCCTCTAAAGGTTGTGCAGACGTATCATTATGGTTGTCATCATCATCATCATCATCTTCAAACATATCAATTCTCGGGGGTGGGCTTGGTGAATTTGATTTTGTTGGTTCAAAAGGATCATACGCCGTCTCGCTGACAACCGTATCTATAGACCGAGGAGGTTCTGGAGGTGTATTAGGTCCTCGGCCTCGTACATCATGAGGTTCAGTGTGATCTTCATCTTGACTATTGAATTCACAGCTGTTAGTAGATATGTTATCTGGTTTAGAAATGGTGATTGTTGGTTCTGGAGGAGTTTTTGGGCCACCGCTCATGATTGTTGATATTGTTTGGGTACTGTTTTCATTTTTCTCCACAGGCTTTTGTTGTTCAACAATAACAGTTTCTTTAGACTTTTCAGGACTACTATCCTTCTTAGCCTCAGATTTTGTCACTTGTTTGTCTTCATCACTGTCTGTTAAAACAATAATGGACTTTGGAGACATCTCTATTTCTCTAAATGGAGAAGTATTTAAATCTATGATTGCAACTGGTTTAGCATTGATCACTTCAATTGTTCTAGAAACTCTCTTACGATTTAACCATTTTGTGTTTTGGGCTCTTTTGGTGGATGTTTTTTGATTTGTCGAAGTAGTGTCAGGCACTGCCGCAGCATTGGTATTTTTTGATTTTTTGGGGTTCAATGTTGGTAAGGTTTCTTGCCGTTTACGTTTCAATGGCTCTTGGGAATTTTGTTTGGATGTTGCATCTTTGTTGAAATTAACACTAACTAATATATTGTCCCCAGAAGCAAATACTTCTTTGACAGGTGGAACGGCTATTTGGCGAGTGGTATGACGTTTAGAGAGTTTCGATTTTTTTGAGGTATCATTTTTCACTATAACTGTTAAATTATTTAATGCAATGTTGTCATTATACTCCGAAAATTCTTGATCTCTATTTGTATAATTCATATCTATATCTGCTGCATGACGTGTGTAAGCAGGTGATGGTGTACGAGAAACATCTGTATGTGACCATGGGCTCATGTGGTCTCTTGGTGATTGCCACACTGGCATACCAGGTGACAATGATCTTGGAGATGGAGATGAAAACTGATAATCTTTGGATTTTTTCTTGAGCTTTTTTTTAGAAATTTTATCATTTTTCAATAGTTTCCTCTCATAGTCTTTTTCTATTTTAGAGTAAATACTTGCTATTTCTTTTGATTTTTTTGCTTGACGTTTTGATAATGGAGACACTTCACGCTGTTCATATAAAGCTGGAGAACGATAACGTTCTTTAGAAATTGCTTGATTCTTTTCATACTTTCCCAAATGTTTTAGGCTTCTTGATCGATGTCTGCTTCTAGAACGATGTCTACTTTTAGAGCGATGTCTACTTTTTGAACAATGTCTACTTTTAGATTCACTACGATAACGGCTCCTAGAATGTTTGCGACTTTTAGGCTTACTAGATGAAATAGACCGTTTTCGCTGCTTAGATCGACTTCTTTTACGTTTCTTCCGTCGACTTCGGTCAATAGAGTCTGAATCACTGTGACTAGATTTAGATAAATCTCTTCCAAATTTATCTTTTTTGCGTCTAGGTCTTTCTTCAAGTACTTTTCGAACATCATACAATTCTATTTCTTTTCTTTTCTGTTTTTTCTCTTTTCGATTGGTTTCTTCACCTAATTTTTCTTTTCCTTTTCCATAACGATAGTTTCTATCTTTAGAATTTTTTGATAGTTTTTTCCATGGCACAGATTCTTTCTCAGACTCTTTTTCTTTTACCTTGTTTTTGTTATCTTTATCTTTATCTTTGTTTCCTTTGGGTGCACAAGTTGCCACCTCGTTTTTACCATTTGACAGTTTATCTTTCCTTTGACTACTATTAGATCTATCTAATCGACTCTTAGTTTTTTTCTTTTCATCTTCGGAATCTGATATTGGATCAAAATTTAAGTTACTAGCTTCTATTTGCTGCTGATCTGTATCTAAACTATTTAATGTAGTACACGATACATCAGATGTAGCATCTCCAGTTAAATTTAAGTTTTCTTGATCTATGGCTATGTCATCATTTATAGGTTCAATAGTATCGTCGTGTTCAAGGTCTATTACATCCGGTTCTTGATTCATTTCCAATGATTTATTTGTTTTACTCTCACGTTCCATGTCTGAATGAATCTCATTAATGACATCAATCACGTCGTCGCCAGAGTTGGATATATTTTCATCTTCATCAGAGTCATCAATAATTTCACATTTATTATCTGTTTTTGGCGAAGATAATTTTGTATCATCATCAACTTCAATGCTTTCCAAACATTCATCTTCATCAGATTTTGGACTAGTTTCTCCATGTTCAGATAGCAAGTCTATTTCTGGACTAACAGGTGGCATAGGAATAAACTGTAATTCTGCATCTCCGCTTAATTTATCACTTTTGACCTTTTCATTTTCCAAAAAAGGTCCATATTCTTTGGGTGAATTAGATATTTTAAGACTAGTAGAAGAATATAATGATATATTAGGACAGTCATCATTAGTTTCCTTTTCATCTTCTTCAGAAGACATTCCTTCATCATCTGGACGTAATATATTATTACTATTGGAAATAGGTATACGCGGTATAGATCTGTTCTCTACTTGTTCCATGTAACCACCATATGTTGGTGATTGCATATAAGCAGTTCCAGTTTGTCTGCCTACCTCTATTTCATCATCATTATCACTAGGATTTTCAGGATCATAATAATCTTTATCGTCTATTATAAGATTATCAGCATCATCATCGTCCAAATTGATACCTAACAATAAAGCTGGTGGATCAGGTGGTGGTTCGAGTGCTTTAAACGTTTCTTCTACCTGAGTACTAGGGCCACTTTCTTCTTCTACATTGTATTCAGTAGTGACTGCCTTAGGAGGGGTCCGAGGCTGCTTCCTTTCACCCATTTTTGTAACGTTCATACGAAACTTGATAGGACCAGAGTTTCTAAAAGGAAAAGGATTGACTGGTTGATTTTCACTAAAATTTGGTTCATTCGCCAATTGAGATTCTTCATATGAACTTGAATTTCCAGCATTATTGTATGATTGATCATTGTTTCTAGGATAGTTTCTATTATTATTGCGATTTGATGAATAATTACCAACATTATCAGAGTTCCTGTCAGTTCTATGATCTGAATACATTGGAGCTTGAGTGATGTGTTTATCAACATTCTGCATTTCACTTTCAATAGTTTTTTTTTTAAACTGTTTTTCTTGTACATTCAATATAGTGTCCAAAATATTGATCGATTCAGTATTATGTGTTATGTTAATATTTCTACGTACAGGCCGACGTAAAATTTCACTAATTTCTTTCCGAGAGATCAAATCTGTTGTTGAAATACGTATTCGAGACATTACTGACATATTTAAAGGTCCATCACCACCTAGGTCACGTTCTTCATCGGACCTAAAATGGAATAAACAATTATATAATAATTTGATTTTTTTAAATGCTTAAATTTTAATGACGTACTCTACAGAAACATAGTCAAATTCATGAGGATTTCCAAATATACTTAATGATGTATGATCTACAAAACTTGACGAAGTACCCAATGAGTTATTATCGCCAAAAGAATTTCTACTCGATCTCGATGAACACATCCCTAATCTTTCAGCTAATTGAGTATTCTTTTTTCTTACAGGTTTATTACCCTATAAACAAAAAACCAAAAAAAAATGTATATTGTTAATAAAATAATTTATTTCTATTAACTGCAAAAAAAACCAAAAAAAAATTTTACTTACTTTTTTCTTCCACTTTTTAACCCTGACTTTTCTTTTTGAATATTTCTTTGTCCTTTTCCCTTTAGAAGCTGTTTGTAATATACCTCCTTCAGTAGCCTGCACATGTTACAATTATTTTAATATTCTTTTTATTGTTATTATGCTTGACAATATAAACCATTACATTTTGTCGCAGTCGTTGAGTATTCATTCGTACTCTTTCGCTAGCTCTTGTTCTTGGCACCAAACGTTGTTGTAATCGTATTCTTGTCTGCCTTGGTCTAGGTAATTGCTCATCATCATTTAAATCATTTAATAGATCAATCACTTCTTCGCGATCTATATCATTATCACTTTGCTATTGGATAAAATATAAATATTGCAATTTAATAAGTAAAAACTATATTTTACCTATATGTTATAAATATCATAAAATAATCTTATTAACATCTGTTGGATCACTGTTATTTAAATTTAAAGCTTACCTCTTCTCTTGCTTCACACTGAGGACAATACCATTCTTCTAATGGCACTGTATAAATAGGTGGATTAAGGCAATCCATGTGATACCCGCAGTCACAAATATCGCACAAAAGCATTTCATCTTCCCGGTGGCTTAAATGGCAAACCTTAAAATATTTATGTATTTTCAATATGAATGATAATTACTGTATTAAGTGCAATTATATAAAAATGTAAGACTCACCTCACAATAAGTTAAGTCTTCAAAATTTGTGGAGAGGTTCTCTACTTCATTTTTAAGGCTTATATCAATTTTTTGTAGTAACTGTCCATCAACACTTCGTACAATGATGAATTTAAAATCCAAACGATCTATGGGACACGTCTTTGCATTCTGTTAAAACAGAAAATTGAGAATAATAAATAGTTAACTATTGTTTTATTATTCCAATGAATATATTTTACTTTTGCCCATTCAGTTAAACAGTTTAAACAAAATGTATGTAAACAAGAATTTGGAGAAGCTAAATCTTGTTGTCCTAGTCGGGTGAGACATATTGGACATTTATCAGATTCACCATCAGAACTACCGGATGAACTTTCTTCATCACTTTCAATTATCTAAAAAGAACACAAATGGTATAATAAAAACATAAAATTAAGAATATCACTTTGATAATACTAACGTTTGATTTCTGAGGCTTATACACATGTATATCCGTATCACTATCACTGTCTCCAGAATCTGCCATATTTGTGATTTGTGAATTAATACTGTAAATAATATTAAACAAATTGTATAGCTTTAAACAAGAATAAAAATATAATACACTATACTCTATTCCAAATAAGTTTGGAAAAAATTGCGCATGCAGGTACACTGTGATTGGCTACGGATTCGGCATTGGTCCCACTCCAACCGGATCGTCGACAACAGCGCTCGCCACCGGCAGATCACGTGACATACCTGCGCGAAACCGGACGCGTTTTCGTCGTACATTTTTCCAAACTTATTTGGAATAGAGTATATGAGTATTGACTATCAGGTAATGAAAATATTAATTTAACATAGCTCAAATTAACACATAGGTAGGTGGTACTAAAATAAAAAAGAACCAATAACTACATACATTTTAAATATACCTACTATTTCAAGTTACCTAACCTATTTATGGAGCAAAAAATTTAGTCTACAGAGTGAACTAAATTCACTTATATTCTAATTTACTGTCTTAGACTAAGCAGAAGTCAACATTATAAGCTTGAAAAATGTCAAATATGACTACTTAATGCATTAATTTCTTAAAGAAATAAAATAAAACATTTATTTGTATTGATTATTATAGTACCTAACCTATCGCTGCCGATATGCACTCATGTGTAATAAATTGACTACTAGTAGTTTTTCAATGGCAGGCTTAAATATAAAAAAAAGTACCATATACATCTAGAACCAGCGAGTTTTCAAAGACAATAATTAAAGTTGTGAGCAACACATATGTCGTGTATTATGTTTAATAAACACACAATAAATTAGCTAAATTTTTTAATGCGCTCCAAGTAACATTGTCTACCCCGGAATGTAAAATTAACTTGACTGTTTCAACACTGACATAACAAGTCAACATCACTATCAGCAGACAGAGTATAAACACAGACAGTGGACAATCTTTGGATAGCAACACAGGACACTAGTGATTAGACGGCCGAAAGCCGTAGGTGACATGAGTGAACTGGAACACTGTCTACATACTCTGAGTCTGCTTCAAATAGATACGAAGTCTGGGATGGAACGGTGTCGTCCAACGATTTGTGTCCCTTGATAGATAAATGAGGACATTCCACAGCCGACTATGTCTCTCCGTGAAGGGCACTGTGGCAGGAAGTCGGGCTGTCTTCTCTCAGAACAGTGTGGTCCGGCCACAAATACCTGTCCTGGACACCCTTCACTCCTGTTGCAGACTTCGGTGTTCGGCCTTCGGCGATTTGGCGACGGACACGGTGGCGGCGGCGGCGAGCTGTGATCGGACGAATTCGTTGCGACTGCTGCTAATGCGGCGTGCTTTCGGAACTTTCCGGAAGGCGCATAACAGCACTCTTTCCAAGTTAGAATAGCAGAATACTAGACAGAGTTGTATGCGATCGGACCTCGGAGTACGATAACAATAATAAAAATTTCGACAAATACAAATGATTTTAATATGATACACAAAATAATCAAAATTTACAACAAAATACAAATCACTCATGTCCGATGGACAATGTGACAGGTTAGCCAACGTGATACGCCGAGTTCAAGGACGCCAACGGTCAGTGTTCCCATGACGTAGTGGTGATGGGGCAATTCTTCCCCTGATAACAATTATACCTGATATGTGTAATCCATGTGGTCAATATAGAACATTCTTAAAGATAAATTTGCGCTGGATACGATGGTGTAATTATAATTTGAATACGATTTTTATTTTTTTAATTATAATTTTTTTAAGGTAATAAAGTCGGGGACATTTCATATTGTTCCGCAAATCACTTCTTAAAATGGACTTTTGTTCCACGAAATACTTGTTCCAAACGTGGAACAAGAGTTTTGTGGGACAAATGTTTTTCGAAACAAGTCCATAGGATCAAATATTTTGTGGAACAAAATCTCTTGGAACAACAGTCCAGTTACTAGTTTGTGGATATTAATACATTTGGATCATTATTTAGATCATACACAAAAGTAATTATTTTTTTTTTTAACTACTATTTGTTCCACAATATATTTGTTTCGACTTTTAACTTAATATTCAAAATATTCAAATTTTACTCCATGTTCCGCTAAACATCTGTTCCGATGAACTTTTGTACCAATATACTTTGTTCCATGAATATTTCATATTTGTTCCAAACGTTGTCCAAAGCTGATAATGATATAACTGGAAATAACTGGGTTCTAGAAAAGTTCTTCTGAAATGTATTGATGGAATTTGCATATAATTCCCTATCGATAAAGTATACATTTACCCGAGTACCTATCTTTATCCTACATTTGTCGTGTGATAATTGATTAATCTCATCCGCAACAACTACGTTTTCCATTCTTGTTTAACGTTAGAGGCGCCTGGGACTTGTAATAAATTTGTATATTATATAAGTAGAAACAAATTAAAAAGTTAACAATATAGCTGTGACTAAAAGCCATTTAAAAATCCACATAGGGAAACAACTCGCATGGTGGGCAGTCCGCTTAATAAAGTTGTTTATACAGTGTGTAAACGGTAATCGAGAACACTCAATATCTTTGCGTAGAGACCTGCTATTTGAATTCCGTTTTTTTGGCAGTGGTTATGACATAAAAATACACATTTTTATGGTCTTTGAATTTTTTTTACTTAATTATTCACGCGCATGCGCATGTCAACTTTTTTTTTTTAAATGGCAACCCCCTGCTTTAACCACTACTTATTTTTTGCCTATTTTTTTAATGAATTTTGGTAGTTGAATCAACTTTCTAAGTCCAAAATTGACCAAGTTACAGCCAATCAAAAAAAAGAAAAATTAGAAAAAAAAATGCGCTCGATTTTCAGCTTTTTGATTGTAACTCTGAAAATAATTATTTTAGGAATGTTAAACATTGACATTTTTGTAACTATTTATTACGGTGATATTCATACGTTATTTTAACTTCAATTACTGAATAATTTTCTCGCGCTGAATCATGTTTTGTTCACGGCAGAGAACAGTTTGAACAATTTATTCGTTAGATTTTTTTTTTTTTTAGATTTTTATTAACTAAATAAATTGGTAACTTAAATAAGAATTGAATTTGTTATAAATTAATAATTATTAATACGTTCTAATAGATCCATTAAATGTAAAGAAATAAACAACATACTAATTTACGTTTTTTCTGCTATAATAAGTTATATGATTTATTACACAAATTAAAGAGAAAATTATTCAGTAGGTAATTGAAGTTAAAATAACTTATGAATATCACCGTAATAAATAGTTACAAAAATGTCAATGTCAATGACTATTCGGATTGAAACATTTTGGTTACCGCGGAAAACCTGACTGTGAACGAAAAAATACATACTACTGCCTTTTACTAAAATTCTTTTATCTTATAAGTTTTAAATTTACAATCAACCTTTTTAAACACATTTCAACACATATCATATTAAAGGGCCTCGCTACTGCCGTCAATTTTAGCTGAAAAGCCCTAAGGTATTGACAAAATTAAAGTTAGTTAACGTTGTCCGATTTTGATTCTGAAAAAAAATTTGAACATTTTGAACTCACCAGTAAATTGTCAATAGATCCTGCGAAGCACTTTGTAAAAACTAAATTTTATATTATTGTGAACTGTAGTCTGTACCTAATTGAAAACTTGAAAATACGAACTTTTTCGAATCATAATTAAAATCAAAATCAATATTGAAAACGAAAAATGTTTCTTACGATCTATAGACAATTTTTCAAAATCAGACAACGTTAACTAACTTTAATTTTGTCAAAACAAATGTATGTTTTTGTGTAATTCGTGTAGTAAAATGTCAATGTATGGTTATCAAATTATTGACATTTGCATGCGCGTACGAGAGAGGATACCCGTATTTAATTTCACTCACACTAATTATCATTTATCAAATAATTTAATTTAATTTAATAATATAATATTAATTTAAATATTATATTATATTATTTAATTTAAACAAATTAAAATAACTATTTAGTAGGAAAAGGTACCTAACTAATATTAAACAATATTATTATGTTATTATAATTCAATAAATTAATATAGAATGTGATCTCTACACAGTTATTTTTATTTTTTACTTTAGTAGGTACCTCTACCTACCTCAGAGTGAACATTTCTTACTGGAGTACTGGACTAAGTGTATTGTACTTGTACACACCTTTTGTGTTAGCTAAAAAGATTGTCTAGGTTCTCTACATTAATATATATATATATTGTATTTTTAATAAAGACATAACTATTTTTAGAGGAACGAATTGAACTAGTGTTCAATGATTATTTTAATAACATATGGAATGGTAGCTACTGAAGCTAACCAAATTACTATCCAATTAAAGAAATAGTTGTAACTTCACATGAATGGTGCAAAAACAATTTTGGTAGTCTAGTTCATCGATGATTGAAAAACCTTGTTATTATTTTCAATTTTATATTTGTAGGTACACTACATTACTACCTACATCAGCAGTGGTTTATAAATAATATTTTTTTACACATTTATAATTAAACTAATTCAACCTTTTTAAAATGTTATGCAAGTAGTATTAAGTAAACAAATATTAAGGTGGGTAAAAAATAATACATACATGTCTACCTACATAGTCAGAGGTAGGTAGGGCCGTAGGGGTTACACGATCATTGAAAATATATAAATATAAGACAAAAAAAAAAATTTTACAAACATTTATAAACAGTACTAACTAAACTCCATATTGACTAGTTTTCAGGAGAAAGGAAAAACATTTCATCGGAAAATTTCCTATCTCATCTCTCAATTCGCAAATATCCTATCTTCATAATTTTTACCTTTCTAATATGGAGTTATGATATGTTATATGTTTTTCTAATTGTTAAAATCATCACATCGGAAATACGACCATTTCTAATAATCAATGTCATATGGAGGATAAAATGTTACAATTTATCAGTTACAACTTTATCATACAATGCAGTTTTTTCCTTAATTTTAATCACAATTAATTCCAAAATCACATTTTTGGAGTTAGG